GGATTTTTCAGTCCCAACCAGGAAACTGATAAAAGAATCCCTGCTTCCGTTTTGAGATGAACTCTCTCTATAGCACCAACCTCTCTTCTCTTTTAGAGCTACTGTTCAGTCATCTTCCTGTTCCTGCTACTCTGGGACTAAGTTACTATGTACTTTCCTTCATTGAGCAACTGTAGAAGAGATAAGGAAGAGACCATCAGTTTTCACAAGGGCAGAAACTACCAGCAGATTCCCCAGGTGCTGGAGCCCAATTTGGAAAGATTATATAGGAAGATGACAAAGTATGCTGATGGCACGCATTCATTTAGCATAATCAAATCTGAAGCTGCAAAAAAAATCTCCAAAAGGATTTCGAGATACTTAGCAAACAGGCAATACCACCAAGAGCAAAACTCTAATCACTATCCATAAGGTAGCAGATGAGTAACAACTACCACTCAGGATTTTGGAGTCACTTCTGAATAACATCAGCTCAGTGTTGAACAGCATATTAAGAAACACAAAACAAAAGTCATGGAAGTATCAGCTAAGAATACAAGTCATTAGTATAGTAAACTGTATTAATCCAAAGAGTTGTCACCACAGATGGACACAACAGAACTAAAAAAAAAAAGTATGAGGAGGACATTGAGAATCATACAACAGTTTCAATAAGAAAAGGTAAAAATAGTTCAGGATCCTACAGCTTGGGAAAAGGAAACATCTGACAATATCAGAAAGATCAAGAATCCCAGAAGAGATCAATAAGGACTTTTTACTCACCATTTCTCAATTCCTCACAAAACAAATACAGAGCAAAGTTACAAGATGCATTATAAAGCAAACCAGAAAGATACATGCATTTTTCATACGGCTCAGAAAAACCATGGAACTCACTGCCTTTGCATGCTGTGGGCGCCAGAAAGGAACCGGGCTTTAACACTGGACAGGCTACTGGCAGCTACTGGAACGCAAGCACCTAGAAGCAGTCTCCTGTTCAGAAAGTTTTTGAAGAACTGAGTAGTAGAAAAAGGGAGAGTACAACAAGGGAAAAAAATGCTTAATAACTATACTGCTGCCTATTCTCTAAGCTACCTCCATTGACCACTACCAGGTAGAAGGCTGGATATTTATGATACAGCTTCAGCCAGTACAACCACTTCAAAGAAGCAAAACATGTTTTATGAAATTGGAAGAAAAGGAAAAAAAGAAAAAAAAATAAGGATTGTATATTACTAAAATTGCAACAGCAGAAAGTATTTCCTGAAGTAACAACGTCCACAGGCTAAGATATCACTTTGCTTAGGCTGCTGGATTTCAGATCTGTAGCATCTATAATCAGATGTCTATTACAGTGGCTTCGATTAAGTACCTTACAATTCTCAAGGAAGGTATGGACAGACAGCCCTGCTTTATCTGCTCCTGGCAACTCCTTCGCATACTACATATTTTGACACAGGTCATCTCTGAGCAGTCCTAGGACATACCCATGGGTGTTTATAACTGATACCATTTTCATGGGGGGATGAGGGATGCCTACAAAGTAAGAAAACAGCACTGAAACAGAACAGCAAAAGGCTAGTTTGAATAGTGCCAAGTCTTCAAGGTCCTGGAAAGGTCAGTCTTATTTACTTCCTTCTAAAAGTTCTTCCACCTGTATAAAAATTTTACATTGCATTAAAGCCCAACCCAGTGGCAATACCAGCCTACCATGGGGATCAACTAAAAGAGACTGTGCAATGCAGAGATTAAAAAAAGAAGCTCATATAGCTGGATCTTACTTCACCTACCCATCACCCACATCCACAACTCAAGGAATATATTAAAATAAGTACAGTATTATTAATATACACTGAATAGGCACAGGTATCAGTGTAAGATCAGAGCGTGACTATCTAATTTATACTGCTCAGGGAAGCAGAGATAACAAGGAATGTATTTTAAGAACACTCCGGACTATGATCCTGAAACCTCCTGAAACATATAGCAGTTAGCTGCAAAAACATCGCTTCCAGTGCTCAGACAGCTGTTACAGCTGAAATCTATGATGTTTCTTAGAACTGTGATTAAGTGTGCAGTTCCTGCTAGTCTCCATGGAGACTGATGTTGGCTCAGCAAAAAGTCACCAAGTGTTTTAAAATAATTCCTGTTCGTTTTGAAATTTCAAAGCACTTAACTCGTTTTTGCCTATCAGATGTTATTTCCCCAACGAAAATTGCAGCAGTAAAAGCAACCAAAAGCACTAGCAAAACTACACAAATATTTTTACAGCTCATTTCACATGCAGCTGGAAATTAAACACCAAAATATACATTAAAAAAGAAAAAAGGAATCTCCAAAACTAGAAATCAAGCAGTCAGTTGTACAATCTTCACATTACATGTATTTGTGCACTGAGTACATTACATTTAACTGCAAAAGAATAGGTTTTGGGATGATACAATACTGTACTCTGTATTTTGGCTTGTATAATTAACTCTCGCCCTTTTTATCTAAAGGCTATTCCTTTTGGGAAGTACCTTATCTGACACGCTCTTAATTGTCTAGTACCATGACAATAACTAGAACAGTCTTAAAGCAAGAGTGCATCCTCAAAGCACCTCCCTCCTCTGTCCAGTTTTATTTTTCCTTTAAGAAAACAGAAGACATTTCACTACAGCAGACACCAGCAAGTTCTACCTTGCACAAAAGTTAACTTGAAGGATTTAGGCTTCCCAGATATGAAGATAAAACAGCATCTCACAACATGTGCAATTATAAAGCTCTTTTAAAAGGTTCTCTGTAAATATGGTAAGTTTAATGGTAAAAATATTACAGTGTTTACACAGTATCCACAGATAAACAGGCAAATACTGTTTACGGTCTCAATTTAGCACTGTAATTTTTTTAAACCCTAAACTTCACCATAAACTTATATTGGCACAAAATGTTTTTTATACATGTATACACTTTACCAGAAATCTTTAGATAGAGTTTACCTAGAGTAACTTGTACTTTTGCATTGGTAAAGATTCCCAAATAATTTCACCTAATTGACTTCAAAAGCTCTTTGAAATTACACCCTGTAAAAAGCAATAAAAAATTGTCATACAGGGTTGGTTTTTTTTCAATTTTCAAAGAACAGTTGAGGTTGGCAGGGACCTCTGGGGGTCACCTTGTCCAACCCTCCTGCTCAAGCAGGGCCATCTAGAACAGGTTGCTCAGGACCATGTCCAGATGGCTTTTGAGTATCTCCAAGGACAGACACTCCACAACCTCTTGGGACAACCTGTTCCAGTCCTCGGTCACCCTCACAGTAAAAACGTGTTCCCTGATGATCAGACAGAACCTCCTGTGTTTCATTTTGTGCTCACTGCCTCCTGTACCGTCACTGGACACCACCAAAAAGAGCCTGGCTCCACCTTTTAAACAATTCTTTCAGATAGTTGTACACACTGATGAGATCCCCCTGAGCCATCTCTCCTGTAAGCTAAATAGTCACAGTGCTCTCAGCCTTTCCTCCTAAGAGGTGTTCCAGTACCCCCACTATCTTTGCGGCACTTTGCTAGGCTCCCTCTAGTACCTCCAATCTCTCTCTTACTGGGTAGCCCAGAACTGGACACAAGATTCCAGATGTGGCCTCATCAGCACTTACCAATTTCAGATGTCTTCTCATACTAGTACATTTCATTTTTTCCTCTTGTGAACTTATCATTTAAAGTACAGCTATCTGTGCTTTAGTTTATACTGAATATTGCTGCCTACCTTGACATCAAGAATTATCATCATGTCACTCTCAAAGACGAGCAACTTAATAAATATTATGGATATTCAGTACTATTTTCCAATATTCTATTTTTCCAAGGCATTTACAAACTTAAGCTATACTGCTATGGAGCCTAATTTTTTTCTTTCTTGATACATATGGAGGAAGAAACTATAACAATTTGCTGTTTTAAATAATCTTTTCCATAAATAGTAAACTTACACACCAGTTTCTTAAGCACAGGAGTACACAGCACTGTTGGCCTTCTGGAGCATCTTTGTCTTCATGGAAAATACACTTATTTCCATAAGCACTTAGGATAAATTAAATAACAATGGTGGCCACACTGGTCAAGAAAAAAATTATTCCATGAAATAATGCCTTTTTTCCTGTTTCTTATATCACTCCACCAGGAACGTATTTTCATTTGAAGAAAAATTAAGTGTGTTGTACACCAAGCAAAATTGTATACATCCATTATGACACAACCAGAATTTTCATATAAAATGATCAGGATTTTGCATTATAACTCTAAAATGTTGTAAAGAACACGTAATAAGTAATTTAAAACAAAACTGAATGCTTTTGGTGTTGAAGATTATGTAGCACTAAAGCTGACAGAATAGAATTTGTAGGCATTTTACCAGTGTTTTTGAGGCAGTTGAGGGAAAGGTACTCCATATCAGTTAAACTGTTTTCTTATTATTTAGGTTATTGACCCCACTGGAAACAAGAAGCCAAGACAGGAAAAAAAAAAAAAAAAACAAACCAAAAAGCACCCAACACCAAAACCTTAAAAGTTTAAATAATTCTGATTGTCACTTGATTAGTCCTCTTTGTGATAGGAATGATGTTTTTTTCCTTAGCAAGAACAAAGAAGTGAACATGACCTCCTGAAAAAAAGTTCACCGAAATAAATGCCCTAGTTCAAGGCACTAAACCCACCATTTTTCACACTTTGCAAAAAAAAAAAAAATCTGGCTACACACATTTTTATTATTTTCCCCTACATATAACATTAATTCATAAATACTAAGATACTAAACCATAATAATTCAAATTTTAAAGTTGTGAAAAAAAACTTATCTGTGATGCAGTGGAAGCTTAAGCACCAAGTTTAAAATAATGCCACTAAACTAACCCAAAACACAAATAAAATTTATCTCCCTGACTAATGAGGTAGCTACAAGAAAATATCACCTTACTGGCCTGGAATTGACAGGGATAATAGAGCAAGTTAAAAAGCACCATTGAGTATATCGGGATGACAGCTTACCTAAATTGTGTCGCTTTGTCTTTGCGTGCTCGTGAATATGTTTCTTTGTAAAACAGCCAAAGAAGACACAGTAGAGGCAAGAGTGGAGTCTGTTGAGGTGGGCACCACACATATGACAAATGCACGACTTTGCCTGAAATAGAGAAACAAACACGGAATGAGTGACAGAAACATATCTCCAAGTCCAGCTAAATGGACACAGATGTAACTGCTAGGTTTCTCTTTTACTCAGTGCCTGCAACTCAGTGTTGCAGACCATCAGGGGAACAGTTCTGCCCTCATGTGACAAAAACACCAATTAGACATATTAATGGAGAAAAATCTTCCATTCATCCAATACATTTCCACGTCATAGAGAACAGGTGTCATCTCAGAGCAGACGATAGTCAACCCATTTACAACTCAGCCTGTAATTTAATGAACATTTCAAGCCAGGGTAAGCAGGCACTGCTGCCAGAATACACAGTCCTACCACTCCCTCAACTCCACCTGTGCATCTCTATTCCAATACCAACCAGGTATCAGCAGAAAGACCTACACAGCCATCACAGCCATGTGCTCAAGCTGGGAAATAGATGTGTTTGAAATGAATCTGCCACTCCCCCCCAGATTAATCTGTATCGGTTCCTCAATCCAGCTCACTATGAGCCACACAAACATTCATTGCTGGTGCGAAACCTTTGGGCATTACGGCTAGCGCAGCACACGCTTAACATTACAGCGGTACAGATGCTGATTACGAGGGGAGCGAGGTCTCGATACATCTCTTCTTGCTCAGTTCTTCAGAATCGCCCCCCACTCACAGTCCCTACCTTGAAGCAGTGGGCTTTGCTGCTCAACAGGCCCTTTGCTAAGCTGGTTCAGCTCGCTAACCTGGAAGTTGAAGCTAGTCTAAAACTAATCTTCTGTCAGGTTAGTAAGCCTATGGGGAGATGAAGTAGACTCAGATGAGCATCAGAGCTCTGGGAGAGCAGATGCCCAGCAGGGAGGGAAAAGTGGTAGAGAGGCAGGAGTTTTGGGTGGTGGGACCACGGCAAGAACTCTGCTCTTTCACAGCACTGAGCTCCTCAATCCACTCAAAAGCTATAATATAACTTGAATATTAAAATGTTTGTGGGTATATGGCATTTCATTTCTCCACTGGGAGATTCTGCCAGATTCATTCATTAGATTTTATACCAGCCCATGAAATAGTGGTGCAACATCAAATCTATACCAGTCAAAGAGTTACAAAAGTCACTTTTGCTACTCTCAGACTGCCTTTGAATCAAGTTTGGAAGGTGATGTGCTGACTGTTCCCCAGAGTGACCCAGAATGGGGAGGAATGTCATGAAAGTTACCATGATTCATTGGAAATTAATAAGCATGTAAGCCTGACATGATGGCTTGCATTCCTATGAGAGCAATACATTTTAACAAGAAGGCCTGGAGGAAAAAAAAAAAAAAAGGCAATTAGAAAGTTAAGTAGACTTTTTGACTCTCAATCATATTTGAACCACTTTAAGCCAACGACACCCAAAACCTTCTCTTGGCATTAAACTCAGGTACTTCAACAAATCTGTTGAAAAATTACTCTGTCTAGTAAGAGACTTTTTCTAAGAGAGTTTGAGGGATAAGTCTTTTGCTCAACACCACCAAAAACAATTCAGGTCCAATACCATCTGATTGGAAGATACAGGCAGAAGAAATTCCTCACAGTAAATTCACTTTTCATCTCAGACAACAGCAACTGCATTCAGACGTATGTTTAAGAGTAACTGATCTTCTTTAACAGCTCAGAGCTACAGAGATCACTTACAGAGGTATGCCTTATTTTACAGACTAATCTGAAAATACAATTCCTTTGCTTGTCAATATAGAAGCACCTTTTTTCCTTCACATTAAAAAAATAAGAATTGGAATTACTAAAATGCTAAGCTATCATCTAACCCAGGCAGTGCATTTCATCAAAAATAACCCCCAAAGTTCTTCAGTAATATTTGCCCAGTCTGCCACAACTTAAAATTAGTGCTGAATAAATGATGCATGATCCTGTTGTCTAGTCTGGCATTTTTCTTTCAGAATACTTATGGCTGTTAAAAAAATAATCAACAAAGCAGCTTGCAATATGCCGCACCATGTAATTTATTTTCAAGCTTCTACAAATTAGGACTTAAATCCTGAATCTCACGTGTTGTATATTCAAAGTTCTCTTGAGTTCTGTTAGATGAAAACATATTGGTTGAATCAAACTCCACACACCTACAGAAAGAAATATTTTAAAGTAGGACCAAAAAAAATTCACCACCACCAGCACAATTTCCATCTTTAGAAAAATACTGCAGAACTGTCAAACTGTTGCCTAACGGTCGCTCTTTGGCTGCAAAAGCTAAATAGGATCAGCCTATCTGTTAAGATTGCTGCTATGACAACAACTCTAGCAACTAGCTATTTTACTTAGCCAGCTAAAAATAAATCTTTTAGCATTAAATGTATTGTAAACAGATGACATAACAAGCACGTAAAACCCAATCATTTTAGGCTAAAAGGCAGAAAATTCATACCCTAAGAGTTTTTATTTCAATGAAAGTTAAGAGAAATTGAAGAATGTAAATTAAAAGAGAAGTTAAATCACTTAAAGGAAGCTATTTATCCATATCCTCTATTTGTTCAGTATAGCTCAAGATGGTTTTTCTAAAATTATAAGAAAACAAGGTTAAAAGACAACAGAGTGAAAAAAGAAATCAATATCAAAAAAACATAGTGGCTATTCTTAAACAGATTAGCTGTTTCCTTTTCATCTGTCTGTGCTTTTAAACAATTTGCTAAGTTAAAACAAAGCTGCCACCCTCCCACCCCACCCCAAATAATCAAATTACTTTGTTTCGTAATACTCCCACCCCTGCTCACATCTCTTGAGGCTACAAGTCTAAGATGAAACAGAATACTGCAAATGAGTAATCAAAATCAGTCGGATCCATAAAGTCACAAGCTTGCTTTAAAACACGACTCAACTTTTTTAAAAAGCAAGTTAGATCTTGCTTATGGTCTAGACGCTTTAGGGAAGTCAAGCAGCATTTTGGCTGCAGAATCAACCTGCCGCTTCTCCTTTTCTCTAGATACAAGAGCACCCCTTCCTTACCCTAAGACATAAATGTAGACATAAATAAGACAAATTCCTCCATACCCTCCCCCATTATTTTTCGGCTCCTCTCATCATTTTATTCTGTTCCCTGCTTGCTTCTCTCCTTTATTCTCCTCACCCTCAAGTACTCCACTCTCCATCTTTAACCCTGTTCTCTCTCCCCACACGCTCAGTTCCTCATCTTATGTCCCCAGTCACTCTTTCTTCAGTCCATACTGAACCTCTGTCTATCCCATTTAATTTTGCTTTGATATTCTAACAAACAGCACAGAGAAGCCAGAAGAAGCCCTGAGCGTTTTCTTTCTGGAAGATCAAAATCAGTTTTTTAAATGACAGAAAACTGGAAAGAATGGTCCTGTACAATATAAACAGTGTATGCACACATAGACAGTAACTGACAATATTTCTGACAAAGCTGCAGGAATGAGCAACATTAGATACCCCAACTCCCTCTTCAGTGTTTTTTCCTCTACTAACCTCCTTCATTGCTACTAAGACAGTGGTAACTCACACGCCCAGACCCCCAGCAATGGTTCTGTACATTCCTGAAAGGAGGTTTAAACAGCCTAGCAAGTGAGGGTGTGAAGTCTAGTGCACAACACACAAATGGGACCTGTAACACAGGTCAATGGAGTCTCATCTCGAAAAGGCTACCTGCTCTTGATTATTGTTAATAGCTGGGATATGAAGTGAGTTAAAAAGAAAGCAGCAGGCATCAGGAGGTCAAATAAACTAGACTGCTGACACTTCAAGTCTTTCCAAATTGTCGGAATAGCCTATTATTAGTTTATCATCCTACCATCAAAACAGTGGTGGAGAAAATTAATGCATCCAGCTGGCAGTTCACTCTCCAACAGTTCCCATTCCTCCTCTCCTTTCCTGGACCAGCTCAGGCTCCACCTAAAGCAAGAAGGTTACACTGGGCACGTAGCATCAGTTATTCCAAAAACCTACAAACACGTTTCAACTTCATGTAATACTGGCTCCTCAAATCACTGAATGGCAGTTTCGAGTGGCAATATACTATCCCTGCAAAGCAAACTGTGCGGAAAAAGCAAGAGGCATACAATAGACCTTAGCTACTGCAAACCATCCTTCCGTATTTCCAGCTATTTCAGAAGTAGCTTTAGAAGCTCATTTTTTATTTAATTGTACATGAGAGGAAAACATCTTTTTAGAGAAGTTTTCCATTAGGGTACTGAAGGAGTCTCGCCTCTTATGCTCACACTAAATATATCAAAGCACTTTCAGAACAGAGCTGTTTTCAGTTACAAGCTTACAAGCCAAAGACCTCCTACCTTTCACACTCTGCAAACCATATTCACCACAAAAGGTTCACGGGAAAAGATGAACTAGGTAACACTAACAAGACAGTGGGAGGCTTGGGAGGTTAAAAGATCATAAGGAAGGTGTTGCCACACTGTACGTGTTCACAAGTAACTCAAAGAAGCAGATTCTTAAGGTACTCTTAAAGCAAATACACCAGCTATTGATCCCTGCAAGTGTTTGATCATGTGCAAATCCTTAGCAATAGGAAAGTAAAAACTTCCCAATACAAATCTACTTCAATTTCCCCACCTTTTAAAGTAAGTTTTTGTGTAAAACAGACATAACTATTTAGACACATCAGAAGGAAGAAGACAAAGTATTTAATTTTCTAATACTTTATCATCATTACTGAAAGTCTTTGGAGGGGTACACTTCACTTTCCAGCTCAAAACCGAAGTCTAATTCTTCAGAAAGAACTTTAATCTCAGTTTACATGGATTAAGGTGTTTGTTGTGCACCTCTAAATATGCCTACCTACAGAATACAGGTGTATGTGGGAAATTCTCCCTCCATGCCTAAGTTTGTCACCATAATCTGCTTTGTTCCCAGGGAGAAGCATTTGTGCTCCACAAGCATTACTTCAGCTCAGACAAACTATTCCTTACTAGGTAGTACTTAAGTGGACTTGAAAGAAGGGGAACTCCAGGCACAAGGAGACACTGAGAAGTCCCACTTAT